GTGCGACAGCTGCGGCGCCGTGTTCCACGCCGAGTGCAGGGAGCGGTCGGTGCCCTGCCCGCAGTGCGTGCGCCGGGAGCTGCAGAAGCGGCAGAAGTCCTTCTGGCGGCGGCTGAACGTGGACGCGAGCCTGGAGGAGGCCTGCAGCATGTTCGAGCTGTCCTTCCCCAACACCTGACCGCGGCCCAGGCCAGGGACCTCCAGTGACCCGCCCGCCAGAGGCTCCCCGGGAGCCCGCCGCGCCCTTTCCGAGGAGTGCGTCTCGTCCCCGGCGGACACGGGAACACACACGTACACACCTACATGCACACACACACACACACACACACACCGTACGGACGTCCTGTGGACGGCGTGTCTGAGAGGTCCGTGGAGCCCTGTGGCTCTAAAAGCTCCCACAGGCACGCACACTCGGCCGTGAACTTGCGCTGCTCGCTCCCAGGCAACACGTGGTTCACACGCAGTGCTTCACACTGGGGGCTGTTTTCTGTTTTTGTTTTGTTTTTTGTTTTTGTTTTGTTTTGTTTTGCTTTGCTTGTTCTTTTGGCTGTCGGGGCCACGTTATTACCCAGGGCCCGGAAGGAAGTATTGTTACACAGAACAGCAGGCGTGGGCTCCTTCTGTGCCATTTGTTTTTAGCCTTCCCAGCCGATGAGGCCGGCACCCAGCACCCGCTCCCCAGGACAGCCTTCTACGCCCAGAGGTAACTGGATCCCTCCGGGACCCGCCTCCGAGCCTTGGCGCTCCCCCAGAGGCAGGGGTCCCCCGTGCTGAGCCAAAATCAGGAGAGCAGGCTCCCCCAGAGAGAAAATATGCACCCCTGGGTGACTGGAGGGCTAATCCTGGTTTGGAAGTGCAAGTCGGAAAAGTCTGTTCCTTGACAAAGAGACCCCGGCAGCCAAGCACAGCCACGGTTGCTCTGTTCGCTGGTACGAACCCGCCTGGCCCGGCGAGGCGGCCGCCACAGGCCCAGGCTGTCCCCGCGGCTCCCGAGAGCGGCTCCCGGGCTCGGGGGCGGGAAGGACGTGTTAGCGGAGCTGGGGGGAGATTCCCGAGGCCGTCGGCCGCGGTGTGCAGACGGGTACGTGCAGAGCCCACCTGTAATCTCTTCCCACAGAACCTGCGTGGGCAGCCCCTCCCTGCTCCTTGTATTATAGATGCTTTGTTTCTCATCCTTCTCCACTGCACTTCATTGCAACCTTTGTCAAGTTAACCACTTCTACTTTCTTAATCTTAAAAAAAACATTCACAGGAACCTGGGACTTCAACGTACCAACTTAGACCACTAAGAAAATACCAAGCTTATACATATAATGAGCGGATTCGATCTAATGTCATTGAAATCCACAGACGTATCCGTATATAATTGCCATCTTAAGGTGAAATGAAGAGCACTGAAATGAAACGACAGGAAGAAGGACTGTAACGTGGTGTGGGCGCCCGGCCGGGGAGAGTCCTCCCGGCGCTGACCACGCGGGGAGCGCGCTGACCACGCGGGGAGCGCCGTGCCCACGCGGAGGGCGCTGTGCCCACACGGGGAGCGCCGTGCCCACGCGGGGGGCGTCGCGCCCGAAACAGTGGGCACGAGGGCCCTGGAAGCCGTGGCTCTCCTCCTCCCGCCTCACCTCTTTCCAGGGCAGAAAAACACGCTTCTTTCCAAACGCCGGTACATGTAACCCCAGGCCCGGCTCAGGACCCTGCCCGCTGAAGGACATGCGTGTCCCACCGCCTTCCGTGCAGACTGTTCGGTGTCAGCATTCGGCATCCCGCCCCGGCCAGTCCCCTCGGCCCGGACCACCCATCTCCCCTAACAGCTCAGCGCCGGGCACGCGCTTGCTCTCCGATCCCCACGGCAGCTGCGTCCTCGGCACTGGACTCCTTACGAGGCGGGGCCCTTCCTGGGACGCCTGGCGGAGCCTTTTCCTCCTGAGAAGCAGACTGGCTCCCGCTGCAGAGCCAGAGAGAGAGAAGGGTGGGGATCTCCGGGAGCGCCTGGCACACAGGCACACAGACCCGCTCGCCGCCTCCTGCCGCCTCCCCTGGTGAGACAGAGTGTTTCCCAGCTCAGAGAAGACAGCCCGTCAGGATCTTTCACGGGAGAGTTACGGCCCTGCTCATTCCAGAGCAGATGTGCTCCGTGGCAAAGTGCCTTCTCCCTCGCCCTCGCCGTCCTGTCCCCGCAGCTCCTCCCGCCTCCGCCTCCGCCCCAGCGCCCGCACTCTGCGCCGGGGACCCAGGGAGGCCTCTCCTCCCTCCCGCACGGGGCCAGGCCTGCACCAGGCGTGTCGGGGTAAAACCCTGGGTCTTGTTCTAAAGGCCCCTGCGGCCGCAGGGCCAGCTCCGAGGGCCCAGCTCAGCGTCCGCAGCCCGAGAAACTGGGGCCTTCTGCTCACCCCGCTTTCTGCTTATTTTCAAAAGGAAAAAAAAAATAGATGTGCGATCGCCACCCAGAACCGGCACCGCCTCCCAGGCTCTGTTTTCTCTCCTTCTGTGCGGCTCTGACAGCCTGGCTGGTGCCCACGGGCCTGCACCATGCTCCCGCCACCACCACCACCACCACCACCACACCTGCCAGGCCAGGCCCAGCCAGCGGGGGCGCTGGGTCCGCCCCGGAAAGCCAAAATCGCTCTTTTCGGCCCAGAACGCCTTTGCCCACATGAACGCCCCTCCGGCTCAGGCATTGTTCCCCTGCTTAGACGCTGCCTCGGCAGACGCAGGCCTGTGACCGCCACCTCTCGCACACCAAGCCCAGGGAAGACGGCAGTGAGCCTCCCGGAGCGGGCGGCCCTCGGAGCCTCTGTTCACTGAAAGGCCCTCCCTGCCTAGGGCTGAGGAGCTCCCTCCTCCCGGCCAGAAGCCAGTGTGAGCCCGTCCAGCCCCGGGAAGGCTGGCATTACCCTGCGGCACAGGAGCCAGCTCCCAAAATAGCTGCACAGGCCGCTCTGCACTTACAGCGCAGTCAACTGGCCTGCGACGTGTGTGTGCCCTCCACAGCTCACAGCCTCTTTACGTGAAAACCACGTCTACAGGCGTCTCCCCGCTCTGCTGCCTCCGGGACCGTGTCACAGTCCTTTCATGTCCGCGGCCGTCTTCCCGGGAGCTGTGCTGGCCATTAGCTGGGACGGGGACACCCTTTTGATTGTTCCGGACCAGGCCTCCCCCCCCCCCCCGAAAGGCCTGAGCTGGCACCTCGGGGGGGGTGGGGGGGTGGCTCCCAACTGGCTCCGGGTGCCCTACAGCCCCCGGCCAAGGGGCTGCGTGCGGCCCGGGCCCTGGCAGCGCTGGCTGTGCCAGCAGCCTCCACTGAGCTGGCCCCTGTGCCTGTCTCCTCTGTGCCTGTCTCTGTGCACACACTGAGCATCCTCACCGGGGTGTCTGCCCGGCCGCCTTCCAGAGGCTGGGCTTCCACACCCCTGGGTCTGCCCCCTGGCCGGAAAGGCTGCGGGAGCCGCTCAGTGTCGGGGTGGGACCCTCGATGCCACGCGGGCCGCTCTGCCAAGGGCGCCCCAGGAAGCCAGGTCCGGCCTGCCCGGGTTCAGCCAAAGCTGCTGCTGCTGCTGCTGCTGCTGCTGCTGCTGCTGCTGCTCGCACCGGGCCGAGTGACTCATGGCCCCGAGCAGCCCGCTTCACGCGAGGAGCGGATGTGAAGTACCTTCCCCTCCTCCTCTCCTGCTGCCCCGGGTCCGCACAAAGGCTCCTCTCTCCACCCTTCCTCCTCCCTCGAAGAGGCATGCACGCACGCGTGCCCCCCTCTCCCCAGAATCTCCTGTCTCACTTCGCTTCTCCCTCGAAGACGGTGGTCGGCAAACTCGTTAGCCCACAGAGCCAAGTATCAGCGGGACAACGATTGACATTTCTTCGGAGAGCCACACTTTTTAAACTTACACTTCTTCTGGCGCCACTCCTTCCAAATAGACGCGCCCTGGCCGTGGTGTTTTGTGGAAGAGCCACACTCCAGGGGCCAAAGAGCCGCCTTTGCCGACCACGGCTCTGAGCTAGTGTGAGGAAGCAGAGCTGTGGGGGCACGGCTGACAGAGCGGACACCGCCCTCCGTGGCGAGGACCACGTGGTGAGAAGCACGTACTCCTTCCTCTCCGTGGTGCCTGCTCAAGCCGGGCGTTAGGAGCTGCCCTGGTGCTCCTGGACCGTGCCCTCCCCCCAGTCCAGCGGGACTGTCTGCTCGGGGCCGAACCCAGTGATGGGTGGACAAGCCCAACGCGGTTCATCGAAACAGACGGCTGTGGATTGCCCTCGTGCCGGGCAGTGCATGGACAGTTAGTCCAGCGCCCAGCAGCCTTCTTACCGGCAATTCCAATTTCACTGCATTCAGCTATCTCTAACTTGAGGGGTTTCCTGTGTGTGAGTGAGATTTTTGCCTTAGCAGGCAAAATCCAAGTCACTGTTAAACTCTAGGTAAACGTCAGAAGAGATGCGTGCGACACCCCGCCCCTCAGCGCCCCTGCAGCTGTGTCAGGGGTTTTATTAAAAATGGCTTCCAAGAGACCATGATCGTGGCGCTGGCCTGATGAAGCGGCCTGGGTGTGCGAGGAGGCATTGCTCAACTCCTGCTGAGCTCAGCCGAGGAGACAGCTGCCGTTCCGCTTTGGCTCCTCCCTTTGGAAAGAGAGTTGTCTCACCCTAGCCGGTTTGGCTCAGTGGATAGAGCGTTGGCCTGCAGACTGAAGGGTCCCAGGTTCGATTCCAGTCAAGGGCACGTGCCCGGGTTGCAGGCTCGATCCCCAGTAGGGGACGTGCAGAAGGCAGCTGATCAGTGATTCTCTCTCATCGTTGATATTTCTATCTCTCCTTCTCCCTTCCTATCTGAAATTAATTAAAATGTATTAGAAAGGAAGGAAGGAAGGAAGGAAGGAAGGAAGGAAGGAAGGAAGGAAGGAAGGAAGGAAGGCCAGTAGTTGCAGGTAGAAGGTCAGGTGCCCTCAGCAGCTCAGCCCAGAGCAGCGTCCTTCCTGCTGGCTCTAGAGCTGCAGACCAGCCACCCTCCCTGCCCTGCCCCCCGTGCCCCCCATCCTGAGCCCCAGCCTAGACTCGGCCTCACGGTAGTACCCCAACTAGTGCACAGCTGGCTCGTGGCTCCTCCACACCGGCCACACCCTTCCTTCCCCGTAGGAGTGCCTTATAGGACCGCCCAGTGCTTCTAGCCATCTGCCCCTGGGGAGC